AAATGTGAATACAAATCTAATAATTCTTGATGCAGACGACACAACACTTGGTGCAGATGCAATGGCCCAGAGGAGCTCCAAGAATGAATTGTCTGTCTAATATACGGAGTGGTGACGCAAAAACTTGCTAGTTGTAAATCCCAGTAAGACTGTTTTAATGTATTTTCATTCCGGAACTATCAGATTTTCAAGTTAGGGTAAGTGGAGATTATTGAAAGCTATATTTGAATAATTATTATGTTTCATATAATAACATGTGGCCTAAGTGCTGTGAGTCTACACTCACCCTCTATACTCTACAGATACCAGATCATTACGTCAGTTAGAAATACAAGTGATATAAAAACAGGAAATTTTAATTCTCATTTTTTATGATGATGAATTTCGCTAGCCACACTGTTGGTTTCAGGGCTAACATTGTTGATTCAAACAATATAGTTACCTGATACACAGTAATATTTAGAATGACTTGTATTCCAATACACATACTTTTTTTCAGTTGGAAAACTATGAAATCTCGTTATATATTCTTGAGAAGAAAAAATATTGATGATTCATCAGTTGAACAAACAAACACAACGTAATACTGAAGATTTATTATAGAAGAGGCATAATTTGAAAACGACAAGTATTAATTGAAGAAAAAACTAATGTGTACCAAATCAAGTGAATGTACACCTTTTTTTTTCATCTAATTTCTTTTTATTCGTACTTTTTCAAAAGGTTTTCGATTGTCTCGAAAATTTCCTCATTTTTTGTTTTCAGGGTTACATTCAACAAAGTTTAATTTACATAAACCAAAATTCAGCACATTCAATACATCACGACCAATGAATGGAGGTTGACCGTTTTGTATAACATAGGTTATGAGATCATAAGGATTACCTACAAATATAACATTGAAATTTTTATAGACTAATTGTTCAAATGTCATATAAATCAGTAGTAACTGCGCCTCTCCAGTCCACCCCCACTCCTCCACTTTTCGTCATTACCCAATCGACCAATCAGAAGCTACCGCACGCAAAGCGGGAAATTTAAATTGTGTTCACTTCAACGAGACAGGCCACATATCCAAGCTCACCATCACATAGTCCCAGTGATCATTGACGGCTGGAAATTTCATAGGAATTTAAATAACAAAATTATCAGGTTACGGAATTGAACAAAAGTTGTCAGCGCTGTAGGCGCTATCGGCTTCCACACCGATATTGGAAGTAACTGTTGATAGCGATGGGGCCGATGAGGTTATTGAATCGCTCTTCGAATTGGTTTGAAAGAGCTTCAATTATGATTTGAAAAAAAGGAATCGTAAAATAGGGTGTTCAGTTATATATATGAATAATAAAACATATTTCTTGTAGTTATGTGTGTTAGAAGTGGGAAAGAGACATGTGCGACAAATCGATGCATAGAAGTGTAGAATGATTATCGGAGAGATTCAGTTGAAAGATAACACCGTGGTTGAAATATGAAAAATAATGAATGTAGATGGGAATATTGGAAGCGCGGAAGTTTTGCACGAAAAATCAGATTGAAAAAAAAAACATGACGGCGGGCATTCAGCGGAATATACAAGGTGTGTGAAAATACAACAGTTGGAAAAAACATGACGTCAATGTGTAGAAGGTGTGACAAAAATACATAATTTATGAAAAAACATGTCAATTTAACGAGGCCCTAACGTTGCAACGTAAGATACATAAACATACATAAAAAACACATGACGTCAATGTGTACAAGTTGTGACAAAATACATCATCTGAGAAAAAACATGACAGTTCAACAAGGCCCTAACATTTTCATGGGCGATCCCTCAATGTGTCTCAAAATACATCAAGAAAAAAACATGACGTCAATGTGTAAAAGGTGCGACATAATACATCATTTCAGAAAAAACATGTCAGTTTAACGAGGCTCTGACGTTGCAACGTGCGATCCTTCAATGTTTATTGGATGCATCAAAATACGTCAAGAAAAAAACCTATGGTCAATGTATAGCAAAAATACATCTTTTAACAAAAAACTTGTCAGTTTAACGGGGCTCTAACATTGCAACGTGCGATCCCTCAATGTGTATAGGATGCGTCAAATGCATCAAGAAAAAACATGGCCTCAATGTGTACAAGGTATGGCAAAATACATCATTCAAGAAGAAAAGATGATAGTTTAACGGAACTCTAACGTTTCGACGTGCGATCCGCCCCCCAATTTTCTAAAGAGGAACGTATACAGTGTGTGACTCATTCGAAGTGTGTACTATCATGACGAAGAAAAAAACATAAATGGCACACGCAACATGAAAGGTTTAGAATACGGCACGAATAAAAAAATTAGATGTCGACGACGATGACTAGGAGGGGCCAACGTTTTAACGTGCGATCCAACATGTGAGAAAGACACTGGGCTGCATCTTCGTTAACCAAGTCAGCATCATCAGGAGGAGTTGACCAGATGTAGGTGAACATGACAGAAAAATTTATATAGGGTGTCGTTTGAGAAAAAAATGAGGAAACAGGGATCTAGCGTTTCAACGTTCGTTCTCCTTCTCTAATGAGGAACTTTAACAGTGTGGCTTATTTGAAGCTTACCATCATTTGTCATTTATGATCTCTAACCAAGATGGCATCATCAAGGGATGACGGAATGACATTTGTAATTGATGATCTACAGTCAGTCTATATCATAAAGACTTTTCTCTCAATTACACTTCAAATTCTCATGGAATTCTTTTTTTTTCTCTAGGTCTATGGAAATTTCAATTCTGCTTCCTATTATAAATAGTTTACTGCCTTTCTGTTAGACGTTATCACTATTTCAAGACGTATTTTGAAACACTAAGTCTGTATATGCGCTTATTTTCTTCGAAAAATATATTGCAATAAAAAACGTTCCTTCGAATTTTTTTGTGAGTTTTCGCGACAGAAATGAATATTTTATTGCATTATATTTTTGTGAAATTTTCGATACGCTTTTAAACGCGCATCGAGAGATCACTAATTACAAATAATAGGCTGTCAGTTCGTCATCTCCTGATAATGCCAACTTGGTTAGAGATCATAAATGACAAATGATAGTACGCTTCACATAAGCCAAAATGTATACGTTCCTCATCAGAAAATTAGGGGGGCGGATCGCACGTCGAAACTTTAGAGTCTCGGTAAAACATCTTTTTTGTTAATGATATATTTTGCCACACCTTGTACACATTGACGCCATGTTTTTTTTATATACTTTGACGCACCCTATACACATTGAGGGATAGCACGTTGTAACGTTAGAGCCCCGTTGAACTGCCATGTTTTTTTCTCAAACCATGTATTTTGTCACACCTTTTACACAATAACGTTATGTTTTTTCTTGGTGTATTTTGGGACACCCTGTACACATTTAGGGATCGCACGTTACAACGTTAGGGCCTCGTTGAACTGACATGTTTTTTCATAAATTATGTATTTTTGCCACACCTTGTACACATTGACGTTAGGATTTTTCTTAACTGTTGTGTTTTGACACACCCTGTATACTCCGCTGAATGCCCACCGCCATGTTTTTTTCAATCTAATTTTTCATTCATCACTTTCACGCTTCCAATATTCTCATCTACATTTATTATTTTTCATAATCCAACCACTCTGTTATTTTTCAACTGAATCTCTCCGATACTCATTCTATCCTTCTATGCATCGATTACATCGCACATGTCTCTTTTCCATTCACTAACGTCTCTCTGAAATACTTACTTCTGACACAGATAACTACAAAAAATATGTTTTATTATTTACATATATAACTGAACACTGTATTTTACGATTTTTTTTTTCAAATCATATTTGCAGTTTTTTCAAATGTATTAATGTACCTTCAACTCCGGACGTTCCATTCTCTAACCGATATTTATTTATTTTAATTCCCATGAAATTTCCAGTTCCACCCGCCGATGGCCACTAGAACCACGTGACGGTGAGCTTGGATAGGTGGCCTGTCTCTTTGAAGTGAGAACAATTTAAATTTCTCGTTTTGTGTGCTTCTGATTGGTCGACTGGGTAATGACGAAAAGTGGAGGAGTGGGGGTGGACTGGAAAGGTGCAGTTACTACTTGAATTATTATTGTTCAAAGGAATGTTTTTCAAATATTTCAAATATGAATTTTCTGAAATAGCGGATTGTCAAAACCTGAATTCACTTCAACCTAAATTGAAAATTGATTCAATTTGTAAACTATTATCTATCAACATATAAGCATACTCATTCAACGTATTAAGTAGAATCGCTTTTTTGCGATCTTCCTCATTAATTTCATCTGCCACGAAAAACTCTCTTACTCATTCTTCAAGAATTGAGAAGATTGAATTTTCGGAGTCGAACGTATTCAATGAGTCAAGAATTCCGACAATTTTTCCCGATATTTCCTACTGATACGTAAAAACGATTATCTTGTCGCCAATGTTCTATATGGATATTAAGATGAATATTCAAATAGAATAAATAATAAACACCAATAATTTGAGCCTGATTAATTTATTACTGAAAATAAATGCTAGTCAAGCGATCCGTCGTAGATCATGGATCAAGGTGCATGATATAAAAAAGTAGGCTAATTTTACAATAATATATGGACTCTAGATACAGAGACACATAAGTATATAACACTTAGTTCGTGAGACTTCAAGATATAAGTTTCATCCTCGCAGTAAACGCACATACCACTGATGATGGCGGCCGCAGACGAAACGTTTGGTACTCTAGGTTCCATTCGACCACGCCCTACTAACCCGGACTTTGTTCTCTTCAATATTTTGGAAGTTTGGTAGCTTCAGGTGAGATGCCCTGAATATAGCTTATTTTTACTTACGATTACCATTCGGGAAAATATTACGTTATACCAATAATTTAACAAGATTTATAAACAAAATTTAAGTATTAGATCCTCCACTTCTAAATTATTATGGTACGACTCTGTTTAAGGCTAGTGAAACGATTAATAATAATTATCGTCAGTGTAAGCGACTGTGATCCCACAGTAGTTCTTTAGCTTCGATTGATTAATTTGTAACCTATAGCTAGTTGCTCTTAAGTTACCAGTATTTAGAAAATGGGATCAAGAAAAAAAGTTCTTGAATTGCTTTTTTCAATCTCTAACAATTCGTGAGTATCCATTCTTACTTTCACCTTAGTTTTTATATTCAACTCCTGGTGTCTCTCTCTACCAAATTATGTAATAATCCTGAGGAATTATTTCAGAACAGAATCGAGCTCTAACAAGCAACATTAAAAAAGAAACTTCAACTCTTTTATAAGAATGGAATAAAAAAGATTACATCACTATCAAGTGGAGTTGTCAATCTTTCATAGCCACGTGTTTATCTGCTCATTTCAAAAAAGGTTATTAAAATAATATCACATGCTGAGCACTACAATAACCATAGGCGTACTCAGGATATAATCCAGAGAGAAAGGCGCTCATATTGTCTCCTTTGAAACGCGAGTACCTATCAATGGCCGTTTTTGAAATATTCGCATAGAAATTAAATTGCCGGATTTTATTTCTTGCCGATACCGCTTTATATAGAAATAAACCATAGATTTTTTTATGCTGTTTGTTATGATCTGGTACGAACCAATTTTCAATGCGACATTTCGTTCATTAGATTTCACCATAAACTTTTTCATCACAACGGATATACATAATTATTTTCATCAATTTCAGTAGCCATTATCATAAAGAAAATTGCTATGTATCATGCTATGTAGACATGTATTTCTCAAAGTTTCTCTCGGAACTTCATAAAATTCAGGTCGCACAATTACCCGTCAGGGATGCCTAAAAAAAGTTAAAATAAATATTCCTCATATCTAGAACTCGAAAACATCAGGTCTTTACTAACATGAGACATCATAAAGTTCGGGTGTCTTATTTTCATATTTAGAAATGAAGGTGGTAGAAACAACAAACTAAATTTGGTAATTTAAGTTTTATGAGAATATCTCAAAAAATGACATTTGATAGTCGTGATCTGGAAAAATGTTTTGATTATCCCCCATATAGATAATTTCTGTTCAATTCATTAAACCTTGAGGGTTTTACCATATACGGCATAGTAATAGTGGTTTCAGCTAAAAAACGGTAAATACTGTCTAATCCCACATATCATGGCCCCTTCAGGCCGAATCCTGGGTACGCCCCTGGAAAAAACGCATACGGATCCTTACAGCAATAATGAAATGTTATTTGCCTTCAATAAAGTTTATAGGATATTGGTTAGATTAAATTCGAAGATGATTGAAAGAAAATGTATTTTAGTGAAGAGCTTTGTGGTCCATCTCCACAGTCCTGAACGAATATTGATATTATTATAACATTTATTTCAGATGTAAATGTCCTGCTCACTCAAAGGGAGGAAGAGCTACCATCACTTCCAATTCTTCTTCGTTAAAAGATTATGCATTTGAGGTAGGTAATCTAAAGTGTGAAAAAGCTGTCGATATCAATTTTCATAGAATAAAGATAAATAAGTGAAACAAACATTCGTTATGGAATTATATATACAGATAATATAACAAATAATATAATATATAAAAGACATATTAATGAAACTAACACTCAATCATTTATTGCTTTCTTAAAGAGGGAGCAGTGGAAGGATATGGAAAAGATTCCAGGCTTCAATAACAAATTCCATACATTCTATGATACTTTC